AATGGATTCATGAAGCTCAGCCAATCTTATGCATTCTTTAAGAATCAATCTTTTAAGATTAGGAAGCATTGAAAAGTCTGGGGACTTTTTAAGGTAATAGCAACGACTGAGATTTAGGACTTCCATCATCATAAGAGACTGCAAAAGAGAACACAAAATGTGAGTTTCAAAACAAAAGCAACATTTTCCCWTTGGTATCCCATAGATCCTAACTTCAATGGAGGTCAAGGGTTTCATGAAAAGTGTGTGTCAGTTTTGCCATGTATAGATATTATATACATCCAAACAGGAACCACAATAATCACTACAACATATGTTTATATCAGCCTATTGTAACACTTTTGGATAGAACACTTTATAGTTAAGTTCTATAAGCTTAAGTTCTATAAAGTAAGTTATTAGGAYGCTTAAACACATTTTAAACTACTTATAAACCCAATTTGTGTAGTTAATTAATGGTAGAGACTAGMGATATATAATTATACCCTGTTGATCCTCTTTTCAAATTGCGTCAAGCTGCTATTGCGCATGTCAAGTGCGACCAGGCTCTCCAACGGGAACTCATTCGGTAAATACTTCAAGGGAAAACCCCGCCAATATAACCATCTTAAACCTTTAGGAAATTGGTCATAGCAGCCATTGATTTGAATATGGCTAAGCTTTAGCAGCCTTAATTTCTGCATCCTTGTGAATGTATCTGTTTTGAAATCAATATCGTCTTGAATACTTGAACAAGCATTACTCGCGTTCCCRAAGAAGTCCAGTCTACGACRTTTTGATGCGTAACTTTGGTCCATCACAAACAACTTTTCAAGAATAATATCTTCAGCACGCCTTTTCTTTCCGCCTTCTTTCTCCATTAATGACTCCCCTTCTTTTAGCATCTTCATGTCAAGAACAAGACCTTTGATTTCATTTCCTCCCTGTGGTATAAAGAATAYATATGAGTCCCTTACTATATATCATGGTCGATCRCATTCGTTTATTTATTTCTTACTAATAGAACAACTAACCGGACTTTAAGTTTATAGCTATTTCAAGACATTAGAATAATTTGTTTGACGACTTAACAAGTTCTATATAAGTTGGGTAACCGGATAGTCACAAAAAGTAAATCGTCCTATTAGCYTTTTTTATACAACACTTGTGAAAATTGTCGTGTGCAAAATAGTTATAGGTTTGATGATTTACTTTTTACGTTCTATTAAATTGTCKAACTTTATCGATAGAAATGACACACGAAGAATTCTTACAGATTTGTCTCTCAAAACATTGTATGAATCTCTGTGACTCCAAATTCTGCTACGTCTTCCTGGATGAGGGGATTCTTGGCGAATGATTTCTCTTCCCATGTCTTGAAGCAACTGATGCACCAACAGTTTGTTCTTTTCGTCGATGTCTAATAGACACCTATCGACGAGATTTTGTATCCCAACTTCCGTATAATAATCACATTTTTCTAGTATCATCGTCACGTATTCTTTCTCMTTTCCTACGAAAAAACAAGAAATATCYAGAAAYAAGCCCCTGTCATGGTCATCCGGTAAGGAATCGTAGCTTATCCTAAGTTTCCCCACAATATCTCTCTCGGAAATCGCTTGCAGTTTCTTTAAAGCGCTTTCCCATATATCTACGCTTCTACCACGCAACGATGATCCCAAAACAACGAGTGCTAACGGGATTCCTCCACAGTGGTAGACAACCTTTCTAGAGAGCTTGGTGTAACTTYGGTCAGGAGGATGATCTTCTCCAAAAGCATGCCAACTGAAGAGCTCCAGTGATTCTTGACCATTAAATCCCTTAATTTCACACACCTCAACTTCTTGTTTAGCTTTCAGTAGCGATTTGTGTCGTGTCGTTATGATGATTTTGCTACCAGGATAGAACCATTTTCGCAGGCCGAGCATGGCATTTAGTTGATCCAACTGGTCGACATCATCAAGAACAATGAACACCCTTTTGCAACTTATGGCATCTCTAATTTTCATGATTCCTTCATCTATGTTATGGATTTTCTTGATTTTTTTTCTAGAGATGTCGGAAAGGAGTTGTCGTTGTAAACGAACCAAACCGCTTGSTTGTTCTGAAGCTCCTCTAATGCTTGAAATAAAGCTGCTGCCATCGAATATGTCAAAGTTTAGGTTATAGATGGTTTTGGCAACCGTAGTCTTCCCGATTCCTCCCATACCGGTTAGCGCCATAATGCCGACATGAGTTGATCCGTCTCGTAGCCATCGGTTGATACTTTTGACCCGTGAATCTAGTCCGATTGGGTACGGTGCGACACTTAGGTTCCTTCGGTTAAGTTTTCTTTCAACCACTTGAACTATTTCCTTGATGAACTTCGACTCGTGCCTACAAAATTCATAAAGTATAATTGAGCCAAGATTGTCAATATTTGCTCGTTAAGTGAGATCAGCACAGCAGATCCAAGAGTTAGTTTCATGGATCAAGAGTTGAAAGGAGAACAGGGCGGAAAAAAATCCAACCTTAAACGGTCATAACTTTTGATTCACACTAAGCTACAGCCTACGGAGCCCACAAGATATGAAAGAAAAGCTCGCAAAGGGCCGGATCTGATGACAGACAAACTTTGGTAGAGAGAATTTGAGGGTTATCTTGTTGAGGTTTTTCTTTGGTTCTTGCCTTGTTGGCAAAATGAAGAAAAGCAACTCGAAAGAAGCCCAAAATCCCGTGTCAAAAACTTGGAGACAATCGCTTATGTTTTTGTCTAGTAAGCTAAATACAATCGGTGTTTGTGTTTAGTAAGCTAAATACAATCGGTGTTGAGACTACTTACCGATTTTGTAACACCATTCCTCCCAAATCCACAACTTGACCGAGAGCATGCCGCCATCGCTTCATCTTATCATCATCACGTGGCAGCCCATMTTGATCAAACACTTGTTCAAAACTTTCATGCGTCCTCATCTCCGAAGGATCCACATCATAAAAGATTGGAATTACGACGGGTCCAAATGCGATGATCTTGACAAGCTCGTCTAGACAACACATGGTCAGAACATAGTTCTTGGACAGAACCACAAGAGCAATCTTGGATTTCTCCAAGGTATCATGTGTTTGGATTCCAACATT